AAAAAAAAATACAAAGACTTTGTTTGCAACTGTGAGTCTGTAATTGTTGTGTCTTTCTGAATATAAGAGGCATGAGTCTGTGCAGCAGACTCCACCTACAGTGTGTAAATATTCAGCAGGGTGGGTTGAACAAAGCGCAGCAGCAGGGTGTGGTTTCACTCAGGAGGGAACAAAAAGAGAAAAAAAGTCACAGTTTAAAATCCATTTACTTGTTTCATCACAAGAAAAGAGTTTCGACAATTCATTTTGTGTTAAATCGATAGTCTATCCTCAAATGTTGCTTTTAAATTCAGTCAGAAATTATATGAAAACTCAAGCCACGTGTAGTTGTAAACAGCATAAAAAGTACGGCAGGCCATTTTAACATAAAATCACCTTTGTCTGACTATCTGTAATTACATTCTAGATATCTAAAAATTAGTTTTGACTATGTAACATGTTGACTATCCTAAATGGTAATTTAAGATTTATCTGTATTTACACTCTRACTAGTCAGAAGACAATTGAAGATRTCTTAAAAGGAATTTAAATGAGTCAAAATRTGATTAGACGTACCTTAAATAACTTATGTCTAGTCATAAAAACAGTTTCAGATATATGCAATGTAAGTGYGATAAAGCCAATTTTAKGCTMAAATGGCCTGCCATATWGAAACWGTCTCCAACCATCATCACACCACTGTATTGTTTACCTTCATGAAACCTGTGCATCACATCCAACACTAACCAGGTGTGCACCAACGATTTTTGTTTTCTTTAAATTAAGAATAAGCTCCTATGTCAGATTAGTCTTGTAGCTGACGTGTTTTAAACTGTTACTTGCACCACGTGGGACCCAGTTCCACCTGGATTAATGCCACTGACTCGAACAAATCAAACTGAAGCAACCATTTTATTTTAGTCTCGGCAGGATCCCGTTCAGTCAGTAATTAAGTATTGAAGAGAACGCTGCAGCTCTGAGGGGCAGAGTTCACTTCACAGGAATGTGGCCCACAAGGAAACTGACACCACGGAGGGCAACCAAACCTTGTTTGATGCCGAAAACTCCAGCTCAGCTTCCAACGAGCGTCTATGATGTTTCGAACACACACACACACACACACACACACACAAAAAGAAAAAAATAATCCCTAGAGGGTTGTTCTGTGAAATCTGAGCAGTGAGTAATGTACAGTAAAGGTGAGCAGGTTATCTACAGGCAGGTAAACTCAGGACATCTCTGCCCGCTCAGACAGAAACGACAGAGGGAATTTACCTGAACACCCTGCTTTAAATGCAAACAATACTTTTCTTATTATGATTGTAATGAACTGCAACTAATGGCCTCTTTTTTTGTGCTCTCAGAGAGAACAACAAAAGAAAAATCTGCCACTTTCTCCAACATTTATTGCAAATTAAAACAATTGTTGCTGAYGACAGCATCTTTACAATTTAAATGCATTTTACTACTTTTTATTTTACCGCCTCAGTTTTTAAATCTTCTCTGTGCTGCTTTTTTTCCATTTCAGGACTTTAAACTTTTTAATATAAATACTTCTTTTGCAACATTTTTTTTATTGTATGACAACTTCTTATACAATAATCTACTAGGCTCTGTGTTAAATATTTTAACCCTGTTAAAAGCTGAGATGAAACACAAACTGTTTGCACACATTTATTATTAGTCTCTCAGGTCTTTTCGTGAAAATGGGCCATTTTGCTAAAAGAGGGTGTGGAGTTAAACCAGATGTTGATTTTGTTGACGTCTTGCTAAAAAATCTTTAAGTTTTGGCTTGATGTGAAGCATTCATGTTCTTAAGGTCTTTTCTCATTTTTATTATCACAATTTAACACCTCGAGCAACTAATGATTGCATTGTCATTGTGTTGTTGCAGCAGCCTCCATTTTCACCTGAACAGCGTAACATAGAGTCAATATTAGACGTTTATTGGAAACAATATGCTGCTGGAGCTTATTGATTTTACAATTCATGAATGGATTGACTTTACAGCCGCCCTGTTTTGCTGCCACCATGTGGCTACAACGTCTTGTACAACTTTAAATACTCATATGTTTGGCTCCATTTCAGCCATTGTTTGCCTTTTTTAAAAGAGATTTAGAAGAAATATTTGTTAAATAAATCTCCAACAAATCTTTGTGCACCTTCCTGTCTGTCTGTGCTGACCACACTGACTCCACACTGTGCTTGTAGAGGCAGCAGAACTGCACTGGGAGGCCACAGCTTGATGCCCATCAGTATTGATCTGGACACAGTTTCCCATTAGAAGACCAGCACAGCTGAAGTCAGTCTGTGCTGTTAGCCTCTCTGTGGTTTCTTTTGTTGTTGTTGTTGTTTTCTTTTGTTCCTCTGACCCAATTTTACCGTACTGGTTAAAGATCTGTGGTACAAAATCTCAGGAGTGAATGTCTTTTTTTTTACATCATAAGAGAAGAATCAGTCTCTCCACCTGCCAGAGATGTAAAGTAACTAAGTTCAAATACTTTGTTACTGTACTTAAGTAGAATTGTTGGGTATCTGTACTTTACTTGAGTAATTATTTTTCAGCCTACTTTTTACTTCTACTTCTTACATTTTCACACATTTATCTGTACTTTTTACTCCTTACATTTTTTTAAAAAGGCAAAAAGTAGAAAGTCATTACTTTTATTTCATTTTTGCTTGTTTTCAGTCCAGCTTGTTATTGTAAAAAATAAATACTGTCCATATAAATTGTGCCTCCTAGATAGAGTGAATTTAATTGTGGTTGAATGAGAAGTATAAATAAAACTCTGATACTGTATTAGTTTGTACACAAAAAAATCATGTCACACTCCAGCAGGACATAATCATTAAAATGAAAGGACTGTACTTAAGAAGTATTCGTATTTCATGAATTATATTATTGCATTTGGCCGCAGCCCTCAGATAGATTTTTATTTTGGGCGAAATGTTTGGGCACCCTTGATATAAATTGAAAGACTAGTGCATCCCATAAATTATTTATTTTAACACGATATAGTCATTTTGCAGGTTTTGGGGAGGTCACCTCCTAATAAATGTCATTACAGAAAATCTAACTGCTCATTTTAAATCAATGCTTTTATTTTTAATACTTAAGTACAAAAAATATCAGATACTTTGACTTTTAATTAAGTAATTTTCCTAAAGGAGACTTTAACTTTTACCAAAGTAATTTCTTGGTAAGATACTTGTACTTTTACTCAAGTATCACTTTGTGGTACTTTATACAACACTGCCACCTGCCAGGTTTGATGACAGCAAGCATGGACTAGAGCCACGTGTCTTTTTTTAATCTCAGTCTTGAATGAACTTGTGTCTCAGCCTGTCATTGATGCACACAGAGGAATGATGAGATAGTGCCAGCAGAGTATTTCACATTTTCAACTCATCTTCCTGCCTGAACTTTGCTCTGCATTAGTGTTGCCCAAACTCAAATAATGTTGCCTGTTTAATATCCTGCAATATATTATTTTTTGTGTCACAGAAAGGCCTGTGCGCCTATGCAACATACTCAGACTATACAGTAATTGTAGTGACTTATTCTGCTGCAGGTGGTTTGTTTACAAAGAGAGGAASTGAACAGAGAGAAAGCGTACCCGATGCACGCCAGCAGCATCCATGGAGTCGAAGACATGTCCACTCTGGCAGAGCTGCACGAAGCCGCCATCATGCACAACCTCTTTCTCCGCTACCAGAAAAACAACATCTACGTGAGTTCAGACCAGCGAGTGTAACTGTGCGCAGTAGTGAAACAATAACCTACACTGCAAAGGGATTCCTCTCTTTGTTTGTTCGTCTGAGTCTTGCTTTCACAGCCGAACTCTGAAGCTGTGTAGGTTTTATTAAAATAATCACACGGTAAATYTTTGGAAATCATGCCTCTCATCTAATTTCACCCTTTCTGTCTCTCGGAAGGCTTAATGTAACACAATAACCCACAAACACACTTTCTAGAGGCACTTTTCCCTGAAGCCCATTTGATCCTAAAATATTAGCCGTTTTACTGCAAACTAGGCCACACACAGTTGGAGAGTATTAACTTAAGGTCATGTTTTATTAGATGGAGTTAAACTTTAGATCTGATTGCTCTAGATACATATGGGGTGCCATTTGTAAAGTTACGCAGTCAAAAATTACCAATATTTTTGTTTTATTTAGCCTTTTATAAGAAAAAAATAACAGATTTATTTTTCAAAGTCAGTTTTTCACCATATGATTCATACATTTATAAATGTCATAGTTTATGAACTAAATATTTAACTTACAAATTAAATATTTAGTTTACAAGCTAAATATTTAACTTCTGACTTAAATATTTAGTTTTGAGCTAAATGTTTAGCTTGCAACTTAAATATTTAGCTAGCTACATAAATATTTAGCTTGCAACTTAAATATTTAGCTAGCTACATAAATATTTAGCTTGCAACTTAAATATTTAGCTAGCTACATAAATATTTAGCTTGCAACTTAAATATTTAGCTAGCTACATAAATATTTAGCTTGCAACTTAAATATTTAGCTAGCTACATAAATATTTAGCTTGCAACTTAAATATTTAGCTAGCTACATAAATATTTAGCTTGCAACTTAAATATTTAGCTAGCTACATAAAAATTTAGGTTGCAACTTAAATATTTAGCTAGAAAGTTAAATATTTAGCTACAAGTAGCTACCTAAATATTTAACTTTCTAGCTAAATATTTAAGTTGCAAGCTAAACATTTAGCTCAAAACTAAATATTTAAGTCACAACTTAAATATTTAGCTTGTTAACTAAATGTTTAATTTGTAAGTTAAATATTTAGTTTATAAATTATGACATTTATAAATGTATGAATCATATGGTGAAAAACTGACTTTGCAAAATAAATCTGTTCTTTTTTTCTTATAAAAGTCTAAATAAAACAAAAATATTGGTGGTAATTTTTGACTGTGTAACTTTACAAACGGCACCCCATAGATACAAAGTAATTCAAAGCTGGACAGAATATGCTAAAACCATGGTTCAGATATTTTAAAGCAGAGGTGACCAAAGCAGGGCCTGCGGGCCAAAATTGGCCCACCAAGTCATTTGAATTGGCCCCCAAGCAGTTGCCAGGGTTTTATGTTGTAATCTCCTGTCATCCTATAGAAACACTGTATTTCCACTTAGTCATTCCATATGTTGGCCCAGTGACTATATAATGGGCTGTAATGCTGATAGTCTTCACTGACAGTGCTGACTTTATCTTTGTATCATATTGTGTATTATGTATTTGCATTATCGTTATATTGAAATTAAACATGAWATAAAAATAACTACATATGATATTTCAATTAGATTTAGGCACACATGTAGATTTCCGCACCTTATACGACCATAAATACTCAAATTTGATCATTTTATGAAATGTCCCATGAGCCTTTGCTGCCCGAGCATACATCAAATTTGTATTTCATGTATCAAATTAATAGTTAAAGTTTGGGCACCCCTCTTTTAAAGTAAGGTTTTGTAGAAAGCTCGTAAACAATTAAAATATTACCCTGAAATAAAGGTGGGCAGGCTGGTTCTAGAAGGCCTCTACTCTGCATGTTTTACTTGTTTCTCCTTTTGCATCCTCGCTAATTCATTGGTTTCATCGTTTCTCCATCCAGACCAACATAGGTTCGATTCTTGCGGCGGTAAACCCATATAAGCAGATAGCAGGCCTGTACGACGGCACCGCAGTCGACTTGTACAGCGAACACCAGATGGGGGAGCTGCCGCCTCACATCTTCGCCGTGGCCAACGAGTGTTACCGCTGCCTGTGGAAGAGGCACGACAGTCAGTGCGTCCTCATCAGGTCAGTGAGGACATTTTTTTTTTCTCATCAGGACTAGCGATAATGAGGTCTTCCACTGATCTCTGCGTCTGTGCCACCTCAGCGGGGAGAGTGGYGCCGGGAAGACTGAGAGCACCAAGCTGCTGCTGAAGTTCCTCTCAGTAATGAGTCAGAACTCAGCCGGCACGCCTCTGTCAGAGAGGACCACCAGGGTGGAGCAGGCTCTGGTCCAGAGCAGGTACTGTCCTTTCAGGAGACTTTAAACACCGCAAGTCTAACCAAATTCTGGGGGTTAATATACATTTTTTTTGTTTGTTTTTCTGTCTGCAGTCCCATCATGGAAGCATTTGGGAATGCAAAGACCGTCTACAACAACAACTCCAGCCGCTTCGGCAAATTCATTCAGCTCCACTTTTCCCAGAACGGAAACATTCAGGGAGGCTGCATCATCGACTGTATCCTTCAGAAAGCAACTCGTGAACATTAAAAAAACAACAAGAAAATATTGATTCATTTTGACTTTTCAGTTCATCCTTTGACTTTCAATCACCAGATTTGCTTGAAAAGGTAAGTTTCATGCAGAAACATCCAGGAGCACGTTTCTTCTTTTTATACCAGCATTTAATAAAAATTTCATCAGAACTCATTGAGTCTTGAAGCTGTTTGCTAACGAGCGATTCTCTCCAAGAACCGTGTGGTTCGGCAGAATCCTGGSGAGAGAAATTACCACATTTTTTATGCACTGCTAGCGGGGGCCGACAGAGACCACAGAGGTTTGTTCTTCCTGTGTTTAATTTTTTTTCAGTTCCTAAGATTTTAAACAACTTCAAGTCTTTATGTAATTGTGTCTGCTTAACATTTCAAAAATCCTTTCTCATAATTAGATGTCTATTTCTTGTAAATAATTTCTTTCTTTTGCAGACTTGTACCTCTTGTCTGAGGGTCCTGAGTCGTATCATTACCTGAGCCAAGCGGGCTGCGTACAGGACGGCAGCCTGGATGACAAGCAGCTCTTTAACAGTGTGATGGTGAGGAAACCACTTCATGTTTTGTTGCCTGTACGTGATTTTATTCACCTCCAGAGGGCGCTGTATGCCTTCACCATAAATACAACCGAAAAGGCCATTGAACTCCTGAGAGCTTCACCCTTATGGGAAACACATTAATCAGCTGGATGTTTGTTTTGCAGCACATCTCAAATTATTGTCCAACTCCTCTGAAGAAACAAAACTTCAATTGAAGTTATTGAACTCGTTTATTGGGCTTGAAAACTCCTGCGACCTTCTTTTTGTTGTTTGTTTTGATAGAAAGCTCTTAAGGTGATGGAGTTCTCCGAGGAGGAGATCAGAGATGTGTTCAGGTTGCTGTCTGCCGTCCTCCAGATGGGCAACATTGAGTTCATGACAGCTGGTGGAGCTCAGATCACTTCAAATGGAGGTAGGGAAACGGCATGAAAATATYTGTGTGCTTTATTCTTATAAAGCTTAAAATTAATGACACCTTTCTAGAAGGAGCTTTGTAATTTTGCAATAAAAGAGGCATGAAAGCTAAATAACTGATACCTACAATTTACAGAAATTAGAGTTTGAGAACATGTTGCACAAGCTGTGCAGAAAAAAATCAAATACTACTTTTGTTCATTCAAAACAATAGAAGTGTGTTTTTCATGATGTGCTGCGGAGACTGTACGCCCCCAGAGTTTGTGACTTTGCATGAGCAGAAAAAGCTCTGAACAGGCTGTAACATGAACCTAAGGCTCCTTTGTTTGCGGTCCCTGACCTGGTTTCTGAAGAACCTGYAAGCTACAGGGACTGCAGAGCTCCACAGCAGRGCAGAATTTCCTCTGGACCGTGCAGGATCACAGTCTGATCTGCTGTGTGACATCTGTAGAAACAAACTATCAGTGTGACCGTGGTGCTTTACACGCTGCCGTGTGCATCTGTGTGTGTGTGTTTCAGTGGTCAGTAACGTCAGTGAGCTGCTCGGCCTGGACTCCTTCCAGCTGTCGGAGGTGTTGACCCAGCGCTCCATGATCCTCAGGGGAGAGGAGATCTGCTCCCCCCTCACCGTGGAGCAGGTAGCAACACATCCAACCTCACGAATAATACTGGAAACTTATCTCTCTCTAGTATTTCCAGAGTTTAGTGTTTATTCTTAGGATTGGATGAAAGGGAATCTGTATATTTGCTGTCCCCTATCCTCACCCTGCTAACACACACACACACACACTTACCACACACACACACACACAGAGTCTTTCTGTGCTGCCCTACACCACATGTCTCTCCAGATCCCTTGCGTGACTCCTAGTCATTTCCTGCTTTTTGTCTGCCAGATTCCAGGCACAATAAAGCCATCGTGATACTGATCTGAGTCAAAAGCACAATGGACCCAGTGGCTGAGGGGGTGCAGTGGGGGGTGAAGTACGAGTCTTCTCCTCTGGAATCAGCGCAGCCGTCAGCCACCAAGACGCTGGCATAACACACTYGTGTGTTTGTCTTTGTTTCAAATGTCCATGTCGTCGTCTGTTAATTGGTGGCAGCGTAAATTGTCGTTTGCGTGCTGCACCCCTTTCAGCAGAACATTTCTCCACCGTCCCTTCTTGGCTGAGCCGACCCTCCTCTCGGCCCACTCACGGCCGTAAATGTCAGCGAATGTGCAGCACAGACCTTTATTATTATCACAAGGACACGAAAGCCACAAGAAAGCTTTTCATTAGCAGACAAAGAGCTCGCACTGTCGCTCCGCTGCCGCTTGTTGTGCCTGGCCTTTGAAGCGACTTGTCTGTTAAAAGAGTTCATTATTCCAGTCCTGGAGTCTGCAAGAATGACTCCTTCTCACAGACCGGCTCCGGGGGGTCATTCCCCCTGCACCGTCGCCTTCAGTAGCCCCCCCGGCACACTCCCCCGCAACACTCCTCAGTCCACGCCATCGTGGACAAACAGCCATTCTTCTTCTCACCCCCGTGACGAAGATCCCGGAGCCACCAGCTCCCGTCTTCACAGCCCGCGAGCTGCACAGCGACACACTTTGTTTAACGCGCAGCTCAGGGACAATACCTGTGGAGGAAGTGGAGCCGTCAAGCTCAGGCTCTTTTATTAAATATGTGTTTGGCTGAAAGGATGAGGAAAATCTGATTTGAGTTTTACTCATTTGCCCAACCTTTATTTCTGGCTTTTACATGTTTGACCATGTAAAAACCGTCCTACTTTTGTTATTATTGCGTTCCACTGCAACACTTTTGAGGGGCCGGTTGTAATTAACTTCAACTTTTTACATTTAACTTCAGCTAAACAGAAAACGACACGTTCCTCGTCTCATTGCTCCGGTTGATCCCTAACAAACAAGCTCTACCTGGTTTTTCCTGCATAGAAACAGCATCTTAACACATCCTCTTATAAACACCGAACATTACTATGTGTGTGACTGACTAAATGTGAAATAAATAATATAGAAATACTATTAAAAGTAAAAGTAAGAGAGTTTACTCACTGTAAAGTTGTGGTAAGTCTTGAATTCTGAACTCTCCCACTTTCCAACAGGGATTTCCCATACATAATCAACAAGCATCATGAGAGATAGTTTGTAGTCAATGGTAACTTTAAAGCAGCTTATTTTGAGACACTATTAGAGGGTTATTCAAATAAATTGTTCAGGGGGACAAAATTATTCAAAGACAACAGCTCATGGTCAGGACAAGTATTTATCTTTCAACATTTAGATGTTTTTTTAATTGCACTGTATCATAAATTTAAAGTTTGCCACTGATAAAAACTATTTTCGTGTTAAATTAAATTAAAAAAAATAATCATTTTTGCTGACTGGACAGAAGTCACTCACAGGCCACATTTGGCCCATGGGTCTTGAATTTAACACGGGCGCTGTAGGGTAATTTATGCTGCAGGTTTCAGTTTACTTAAAAAAATAAGTAATAAATTAAACAATTAAAATCCTGTGAGCACGCTGCTTTATTATTTTCAATTGCTTTGTTTTAACAGGATTATTTTCCTAAGAGAAAGCCWGCCTGGAGTGCATCACTGCTCAGATATGTAGATGATAAACAGAGTGGTCTGTTGTGTCAACAGACAAGAGACAGACGCTGAGACAGCACACCTCTGTTTGTTTTACGTGTTGCACATCCGAACAATACGAGACGTGGACGCGTGCATGAGTTTAGAAAAACTTCTTTCCTCTTCGTTTATCTGGAAATACAGAAAACAAACACATAAATCCGACGTGCTTCACACTGCAGGCTGCGACAATCTACTGAACAATGAACACGTTTTGTACACTTGCTCAAGACCCAGGGCTGTCCTCAGTGCCTGTTTAAAATGACCTTATTCTGATCTCCCCTCTGCTAGATCTCTACAGTTATCAACAAATATTAATACAGTTCAAGATGATCACAGAAAAATGTAATTTACATTACAAAACAAAATAACAAAATATTCCCCATGAGTGTGTGTGTGTGTGTGTGTGGGGGGGGGGGGTCATGTCCTATGACACAAATATAACTGGTCCCCTACATATGAACACATTGATGAGGGCTCACACAGCGTCAATCAAACAAATCAGTGTTTTTAATCTGATTCACTGCCTTCCGAGGACTAATTAAATGGGTTTTGTGCTGATACGTGTCTTTCACTTGGACTAGTGCCTGCAACGTTTTCACTTTTCTATTACCTGTACATTGCACAGTCACCACAGCGGTCTCCTCCTGTYGTCTCTTTGTGTTATCTGCTGCAGGCGGTGGATTCGCGGGACTCCGTTGCAATGGCGCTTTACTCTCAGTGTTTTTCCTGGATCATAATGAAGATCAACCAGAAGATCAAAGGAAAAGACAACTTCAAGTCCATCGGCATCCTGGACATCTTTGGCTTTGAGAACTTTGAGGTGAACACACAACCCAAACAAACAGAAAAGAAGGCCTTCCACTTCTTACTGGTTTAACCTGCCTGCTGCCCTTGGGTCAAAATGACCCACATTTTTTAAAAAAATGAGGCCTCGTGGCTTAAATGTTTCATCAACAAAAAGACTTTGTAACCAAGTTGTATTYAGTCAGAGAAGAGCTCATGGATAAAAAAGAATCCCTTTGATGTCTCTGCTTCAGCACACCTGATTTGAATGAATGAGTGATTAAGACCTGCTGAGGAGATGAAACAGCTACAAAATGCAGGATAGTGACCTTTGAGGACCAGGATTGGGCACTATTAATTTAGGGGAATCTCTTAAAGTCAAAACTGTTCTTTTTTTTTTTTTTTTTTCAACCCTGGTCCTCAAGGCACACTGCCCTGCATGTTTTAGATGTTTCCCTGCTTCAACGCAGCTGATTTCAATTAACAACAGGCTTTTGTTGAACTGCAATCATCTGAATCAGGTGCGTTAAAGATTAAAAATCAAGGAAAAGTGGCAGAAAGAATGGAATGAAGAAAACAAAGGAAGATGGTTTTATAAGATCCAAAGGAAAGTGGGAGAAATGAGAGTAACATAGGAGAAACAGAAAGGAAGAGAGTTTATTAACTAGATTAAGAATGGGGCACACCAGACTTGATAGTACACTCTTTATAATAAAAAACATGAAAATGGAAACTGTCAACATTGTGCAATGCTAGAAACAATAGAATATGTATTATTAATATGTAAAAGATATGAGAGACAAAGAAGAGACGTGATGGAGGAATTTAGAATAATTAAAGAAACATTCAATTTATCAAATTTATTACAGAAAGATTCAGGAAGCAAAGGTTTCAACATTGTGGAATGATAGAAACAATAGAACATA